TGAGAAAATGGTACCTAAGTGTGGAAAAATGTGATTTTTTTCAAAATCGCACAGAAAATTCATAAATAAAAATTTTGCTCCATCGGACTATCTGATTTTAGTCCCTTGTATATAAAATCAGCAGAAAAAAACGTACGATAACGTCTTTGTGGCCAATACAATGAAGTTTTAATTTTATCGTCCGCTATATTAAATCCGCCATTTTGAATTTTTAAAATCTGATTTCAGATTCGTAATCAGCGACCCCAAAAACCGCCGACTAACAAATTATATCGAATACGATGCATATTTTTCATTTTGTCGTCCGCCATATTGGATCCGCCATTTTGAATTTTTAAAATCTGACTTCAGGTTCGTAATCAGCGAACCTAAAAACCCCCGAGTAAATTTTTTTTTTATTTAAATTTTCTTCTGAATATGGGTAAGAATTCCTGAAGTGGGCCCCTATTTTTCATTAGGTCGGTGGATTTTTCTCATTCTTATATGTTTCGATAGCCTATGATGGTATAATAAAAACCTGTAAATAGTTTTCCGAAATTCGAATATTTACCAAAGTTATTCAAGGTCAAAGTAATTTGTAGCGTTTTAGTAAATAGCTAATTACTCGCGATCGGATAAACCGATTTTAATAAAAATTGGAGGAGAGTTTACCTAAAGAATTGTACTTTAGATAAATGATCAAAATTTTAATTAAAAAATATAATTTGTTTAAATAAATTAACTTTTTAATTTTTGGGGTTAAAAAAAAATTAGTTCTCCATATTTTTTTTTGATTTTTTTTTAATAATCAAATAGAGAATACTTTTAAGATTTTATTTCAACAATAAAAAAGTGGGATTCTCTATCACTTTAGAAAATATAATATTTTTAGTTACAAAATTTTTTGAAAAGTTAAAAAAATTTGAAGCAAAACAAATGAACGAATTAAACTCGACAATTTTAACCAACCAAGTTTAATTCGTTCATTTGTTTTGCTTCAAATTTCTTTAACTTTTCAAAAAATTTTGTAACTAAAAATATTATATTTTCTAAAGTGATAGAGAATCCCACTTTTTTATTGTTGAAATAAAATCTTAAAAGTATTCTCTATTTGATTATTAAAAAAAAATCAAAAAAAAATATGGAGAACTAATTTTTTTTTAACCCCAAAAATTAAAAAGTTAATTTATTTAAACAAATTATATTTTTTAATTAAAATTTTGATCATTTATCTAAAGTACAATTCTTTAGGTAAACTCTCCTCCAATTTTTATTAAAATCGGTTTATCCGATCGCGAGTAATTAGCTATTTACTAAAACGCTACAAATTACTTTGACCTTGAATAACTTTGGTAAATATTCGAATTTCGGAAAACTATTTACAGGTTTTTATTATACCATCATAGGCTATCGAAACATATAAGAATGAGAAAAATCCACCGACCTAATGAAAAATAGGGGCCCACTTCAGGAATTCTTACCCATATGTTCCCTTACATGTAAAAAAATTTTAGTTAATAAAAATATATTATATCTTTAGAAAAAACACTTTGGAAAAAACCCTCGATTTGACCAGACTCCCTCCTTAAGGGGAGGTTCTCATTGCGGAGGCCAAAATAAACACAAACTTTGACAATTTTTTGCGAGGAACGGCTATGACTTAGCGATGTAGTTTCTTTCTAAATAAAGATACATCCTTGAACTTTCAAAACATATATTTCATTTTCAAAAAAATGCAAAATGGCGGTCAATATGGCGCATCTAGAAAACAATGTCTTTTTAAATAGGGAAAACGTTGGGCATTCTACACTGCGCAATTTTTAGTCTAGAACAAAAACTCAAAAATTTTTATAAAGATGACATCCTAAAGAATAGGTTATACCTATTAAATAGTTAAAAAGTTAACAAAATGGCGGATATATTTTTAAAAAACTGCGTTTTTGCATTATTTTTCCATATTTGACCTCTTGTAAAAATCTCTATTGTTAACAATTTTATCATATTATAGGTATAACCCCAGTAGATTTTAGTTACCTTTAATTAGCCGCAAACCCGAAGTTGATTGACGTTGAGTTGTTTAGACGCTACGATGCCCACCAGTTTGAAAAATCTTGTTTCGAGAAAAACGCGTCTAAAATTTGAGAAACATTTTTATGCAATAATTGTATTCTTTGCAATTCTTTGTTTAATTTGCGTATATGATAAATATCTATATGTATTTAGGGTCGATCTTTACGATTCGGAGGTCAGATTTGCAAAATTATTAAAAATCGATTCGATTTGCCTGACATTTGTTACTCAGTGCTCGGGACGCCGGTGAGTTCAAAATTCCATAAAAACGAAAATATTTTTCGGATCAAAAATTCGCTATACACACATATTCTACATATATATAGCTTTCAAAAAATACAATAAAAAAAATAAATTTTTTGACTCCCGCAATTGGAACCTTCCCTTAAAATAATATTCAGGTAAAATTAAAATGATTTCATATTTTATGAAAAAAATATTTCACTAGGTGGGAAACGAACCCCGAATGTTGGGCATAGGAAGCAAGAGTCTTACAAACAAATCAAACTTACTTGTAGTGCATTAAGATTTTTGATAAAATATAAAGAACTATAGAAAAACTTACAAAGCTTCAGTTCCGTCGAAATTTTAATACACTACAAGTGTGGCTTGTTGATAAGATTCTTGATTAATTTGCACAAGGTTCAGGGTTCAATTCCAACCTTGTGAAACTATTTTACTCAAATATAAAATCATTTTAATTTATCTGAATATTAATACCTTTAAGTTACAGTGTTATATTCATTTGTTTGGTCGGTAGAGCAATAAGTGCTTAAGGAAACTACTGCAAAGCTTTTAAAATTTCACAAAAAATTTGTTTCAGGCAAAGAAATCTGTTAGGTTTAAGAAAATGTTTATGTACAAGTTCCATAATGTAAAAATTTTTCACACGTGATATGTACCTACGGTCTCACGTACATTTTCACTATTTCAATTTCCGCACTTGGTCATGTACCAAGATCTAGTACAAGAATTCATTTTTAAATTTTCGTCTATTTATTTAAAAATACCATTAACAACAGTGAAAGGTTAAAAGCTATAGTAGTTTTAATGTTCGTTACAAAATTGGTGAATGATATTTATTTTTTTTATTTTTTTAATAATGAAACATATTTCAGCAAAAATAGGTATAATATATTTATATTAGAAGAAAAGTGTATTTTTCGATCCATGGCGATGGTGCAATGTAATTATTGTTTCGTCATTACAATAAAATTCTACATCTCTTGTGGTCGGATTCAAATTTGGAACAAAGTAATAAGTAGATTTCGCTTTTAACGAGAGCGGTTATAAGAATATTTGTATGAACAAATAAACAGTATTTTTGAATGATAATATTGATCTCTTTCAAATAGATAAACTCAAATCACTAATGACCACCCAGTGGAAAAAAAGTATTCAGCATAGCAAAATTGTTCTGGTGGTAACTTATGGTAAATACTTCTCCCGCGAGTAGATACCCGCGTAAATTAATGTACTCAAATTAAATCTCATCAGGGCAGTTACGAGATTAACAATGTACATACAATCAACTGCTTGTCAGATTTAATTTTTTTTAATTTTAACAAAACTTCATATTTTCTTCTTCAATATGTATTCTCAAATTTGCTTTGAAATCTATAACTCTTACTGTGATATCGAAATGTCCGCCTCTTATTACGTTGTAATATTAAGGTAATATTAAGATAATATTCCGCGCTGCTTAGAAAGTATTCACGGTAAGCAAAAATTATTCAGCGTAACGTCCCAATCCTGTTTTCATGACAAACCGTATTCATCGTAAGTTACTACCATTACAATATTGCTCTGCTGTTAATTTCTAGGGTCCTGTAGTGATGAGGCTTAACAGTTGTATATTTTGTACTGTAAAGTTCAATTTTAAGCGAAATTAAATATAATCCGTATAAATTAACTTCCATTCATCTCATTATAAGCGAAATCGACTGTATCACCAACTTTTTATATTTCTATTGAATGTAAATGTAAAATAATAATATATACCTACGTAGATGTAATAGAAGCGATAAAAGTTATACAATACAATAAAATTCAAAGAAAATAATAAATCTTTGGATGTCTCTCTGTTTGCTTATTGCGCAAAAATATTATACTGATGAGCTCTAAATGAAAGCTTATTCTTGAGAGCAAATAGTCGAAATCACACGGAACTTTTGCAAATCTCGCATACATGAAATGTGGTTTTCAGAAACAATTATAATTTCTCACTTTTTCACCATTTATAATTATAGCCTTTTGTGTTTACTTTTAATGAAACGAAGTCATTAACAACTTTGTATTCACAAATTGATGATATGAGTTATAATTCGACAATTATTATACTTTCTATATTTGATAAGTTTGTAATATCAAATGTTAAAATAAAGTATTTTAATGATACAAAAGTTAATTTGTTCACATTTAACAGATAAATAGCATTAAAAAAGTTCCATTTTTTGAGTAAATATATATTTGCTATTTACGCGCGTAAATAATTATAATAAGTAATTTTACTCTCAAAATTAATAAGTTTTCATTTAATTATATTTCATTTTAACGATATGGGGGAATTATATTAGTATCATATACTATATTTATTCTCAAGGGAATCTTACGAAATTCAAATCACTTGTTCACAACCTAATTCTCTCAATATTCATACAATGTAACTTAACATTATGAAAACATGACGGTTCTTTTGAGTTCATAATAACATAACTCAAAACTACAAGAAACAACATTACTAAAATAATGTAAATCGCAAGGCAAAATGCTTTCGCATTTAACAACTACAATTGAGCTCCCGCGGGCAATAACTCGATCTGCGCTCGGACGCACTCTCTAATACCAGTCGGGTGGCAGTGAGTGGCGCAGAGGCGCTCACTGCTCCCCGACTGGTACTAGCGCTTGCGTCCGAGCGCAGATCGAGTTATTGCCCGCGGGAGCTCAATTATACTACAAAATACTGTTACAAATGCTATTGATTTAAATACAATGCAAGCTTTTTAATCACAGATGAAAGGGAACTTTCTCAATTCCATTACAGTTAGTTTAGAGCGTTCGTTAGATATTTTTGGTAAAAATTAAAAAAATTACCATAAAAATGTCTATTCTAAAGTTAGATTAAATTTAAACAAATTATTTAAAATAACAGAACGTACAACACTTAATATTTCACTTTTTGATTGTCATAAATAAATATGAAATTATCTTATGACAAATTTATCGAAACCTAATATCTATTTATATTTACAAAGGCTTTTTATGCAACCGTAATAGTTCCAACTCGAGTAACATTGGACCAAGGTTTTAAAGGTTTCAAGAGTAACTAATAGACAGATCCATTCATTGAAATATACTAACGCTAAGTAGAAGTTCAGGTCATAAAGAACTAGAAACAATGTGAATGAATTTCGCTAGATACTTCGACATGCTAGTCGCACTTTTAATCCATCATTTCAACGAAACTTGATAGAACACCCAGTCTTCAAAGAAAGAAGGAATAAACGCGCTACTTTTTGTGTATTTAACTGGCACTGTTAGTTGACTTAATACTTCTTCGAACATTTTTAAAGATTCTGGACATGATGCGCCATTACCCTATAAAAAAGTTAAATTTTAAAAGTTAAGGTAATTATTAACATCACATTAATTCTCAACAACACAAATTAATATTTTCTAAAATTCAGAATTTCAAATTTTTAAGTTCAAAAACACATGTAATTCGAATGAACATTTAAGTTAACTAGATTTTTAAAGCATTTTAGAACTCAACGATTTCAATTTTTCGCCAAAAGAAAATAAATTAAAACAAACGTTTAGATTTTGAATGTGCAAATTAATGTAAATATTTTGAATTTCAGAGAATATTTAGATGAGCACTCTTTTCTCAATGAAATACAGTTACTAACATGGGTCATGTACTTTCCCGTTGGCTTCAGCACTTTAAATGACGAATTTAAAATCAATCTGATAAAATCCCAGGCATCACCATGTGGTGTTGAACTGATCGGTATGTCTGTTAAGTCACCGAAGACATAATCAAATTGGCGTCCTTCGTCTATCATGTGTGATAAAGTTTTCACGCAGTCACCAACAATAATCTAAATAAAAATTAAAAATTCTTAAAATAAAGGCTCACTTAACTACGTATATTATTTCATTTTTATTTTATTAATAAATAAAATTTAGTTCATAAATTTTAATTTCATTCAAATAAAGTTTTCTAAAATAAAAGCTATTTCAATGGAATTCAATCGGGTTCTCTACATTTTTCGTGTAATCTTCACATTAAAGTACTTGTTTGTATGAAATTTCAACCCTCTATGTAAAAATGAATAAGTCTAAAAGTGGAAAAGGGAAGAATTCATGAATGAAATAAAAATTCTTTTACAATCAATTTGCGAACGAAACCCTAAAATGTGCAAAATAAAATTTGAAAATAAAACTCACCCACAGTTAAAATTAGGAATATGCAAATCTACTATCTCCGTATTATATAATAAAGGTATTTTAAAAATTAAATGCAAATTCTATCAATTGATAATTATTAATCACATATATTAAATAGTAATCAAGTAATAACTTGGAGAAAATAATAAATTTAATTAAACTTACTTCATAATTATCAGTCTTTCTTTTATCCAAACAATCGCCACATATACTTCTCATGTATTGACTGCAGGCTTTCATGACGATGTCATCAATCTAAAAAGTAATATTCTAAAAAGTAATATAAATGTATACAAATATAAAGACAGATAAATATATACCAAAAATCATTTGAACTTAAATTATTTTTCTATAAGGCTGGAGTCCCATGGCAGCGTTTTGCGTTGCGTTGTGATAAGAGAAAATGCAGCAAACGTATATTTGCGTCTTTTTCTCTCCCATTACGACGCAACGCAAAACACTGTCATAGGACTCCAGCCTAATGTCTAAATTCTACCAAAGTGCCGTTTTTACAGCACTATTGCGAGAAAGAAGGGGACATCAAACTTTTATGCATACTTTACCCCACGTTTCTATGCTACTGAAGAACTATGACCAACTATTACTAACCTAACACAAATATTCGTTTGCTAGAGAATCAAAAGAGACACCACTCTAAACTGAAAAAGCAAAAACATGCAGGGCCTCTGTTTTCCGCATAATCAAGGTTCCAGTGTACTTAAAATTGAAAACTTTTGCGCCTAAAATTCGAAGTAATTCACGAACTTATGGACTGTAACGTATGTATCAGTCGTGTAAGTTGTGAATATACAGTGCAATACCAACCAAACTTAACCTGCAAGGAAGTTTGATTTTCTGGACATCTTTGTATAGAGAGGAGCGGGACGAGGCAGCCAACTTGTCACATTTCAGCTTGAAAGTCAGTAATTTAGACATTCATCTTTAGATAAAAGGTGTCTTCTTAAAACCTGGTTCCTTAGCTACAAAGTTGATTTGCAAACTTTCCTTATAGGATTCAATTTATAATTTTTACAGCAGTTTTCCCGTAAAGGCGCTCGCACAGCTCTACTGCCTGCCTGTCTGCAGGTCGTCATGGTAACACATAAGAGTAAGAGAGTCAGAAAATTCAAATTAAATGTTTTTTCTCCCTTACTCTCATTGCGCCTGCCTGCCCAGGCAAGCAATAGAGGCGAGAGTACGGAAGCGCCTACCCGCCACCTCGAGGCACTGAGGCATAAACTAGTGGTAAAGCAGTTTTAGCGAGGCATACACGCATATAGGCCTGTAGGCCTACTTGCCTTTGTGCTTTGTTCATGTTTTGTTAGTGGACTGACAATTTTGACAAAGTTAAAATTATAAATATTCAATACTTTTCAAACAAAAATTTTAAATAGTTTTAACCTATTCGACACATTATAAGTGATATATGTAAAAAAATAAATATATTTTGTGAAATTTATTTGATTTCCTTTGCGACAAGGTAAGTTACATTATGCATAATTTTAAGGTTATGGTTGTGTTTGTTACATGTGATGAATTTTATTAATAATAATAATAATAATAATATTTATCATTATTTACATTTTCTATGTGATTCAATGTTTATATAAAAAAATTTAATTTGTTTACTCGACAAATGGTACGCCCTCGACAATTGATGCATTTATCCTACTTTTAAGTTTCTCTATTTCCAAAATGTATTTTAAAAATTTGTTGGTCAAATTAAAATTTTTTTCCTATTAAAAGTTTCACTTCTCAACAGAACACAACTTCATGTTATTGTTATATTGGAAAATTTTAATAATAAATTCCACATTCTACATACACTTTTTTCAATGAAAATGTAATTTTTCATAGTACATTAAAATAATAATAATAATAATTTAATCAATAATAAATAAAATTCATCACATGTAACAAACACAACCATAACCTTAAAATTATGCATAATGTAACTTACCTTGTCGCAAAGGAAATCAAATAAATTTCACAAAATATATTTATTTTTTTACATATATCACTTATAATGTGTCGAATAGGTTAAAACTATTTAAAATTTTTGTTTGAAAAGTATTGAATATTTATAATTTTAACTTTGTCAAAATTGTCAGTCCACTAACAAAACATGAACAAAGCACAAAGGCAAGTAGGCCTACAGGCCTATATGCGTGTATGCCTCGCTAAAACTGCTTTACCACTAGTTTATGCCTCAGTGCCTCGAGGTGGCGGGTAGGCGCTTCCGTACGAGAGAGTACCTTTATGCAACAGTTTTGGTCATTTGAAAAAATGTGGAGTGAAATAGTCAACTGTTTGAAAACTCATTCGGCGGCACTTGAAACTTAAATTTACACATTAAATAAAAGCACTTTAATAATATTAATTAAGATTATTTTAACAGTAAAACACACATTAAACATATAACTCTCCAGTTCCACAACTGTAATATAACTGTAATTTTCGTCGGCTAAAATTGAAATTGACAGTAAGTTTTCGTGCTATCATTTGATGCTTGGTTTCAAATGACTGATTGTGAGCGTGAGAACTGAGCACGAAAACTGTCAATTCAGAGTTTTAGACAATAAAAATTCACTGATCAAACAACCACGTTTGTCATTTTTAGAGCACTGCCAGCGTGAACCGTGGAAAACATAACAATTGTTACAATGTTAATTTTTATAGAAATAAGGGCCAAAAGATTGCGATTTTAATGTTTGGTTTGTTTACATTTTCGTTTGTATACATTTCACAACTTGGACATGCTCTTAATTATTTGAAATAAAATCCAACAAAATGCCGAAGTTGTTGCAAAGTGTATTTTTCGTGAGTGAAAAGTATGGCTTGGTAAAAATAATTAACGATTTTGAGGAATTCGTGAGTTCTGTGATAATTTTGCCAATTCATGAGACTATAAATATAAACAGTTTTTTTTAAAGAACTGTAAGTGCCAAGTTAAAGATTTTACATTTTTATTAATTGGAAAACAAGAGATTTATTTATTTTTATATTAAATACAACTATTTAGCTTTAAGATACAGTAAGACATATTTGTATATATATTTATACATATTTATATGACTCTCGAATTTAATTTTTTTTAAATAAATAAATGAAAGATACACCCCGTGTATAGGGGAGACCGAGGTGAGTTGTAACACAGGTAAGTTGTAAAAAAGCCGATTTCTCAAAAGCTATGACCTTTTAAAAATTTTGAAAAGCGTGAATTTATTACATTTTTGATTCACTATTTGATGCAAATTTACTTGACCACCTGAGAAAAGTTTTTGAGATGTATTTAATATGTGCTCAAAAAATTGCTAAAAGTAAGTTTTCGGCCGAAATTTTGATACTTTATTATTCGACACATATTAAATTTTTGTTATTCTAATATTTACTTTAATAACTGCTGGATATCCTAGTTTCATGAAATGGTTTTGTTTTTTTGTGTCAGTCTCGAAATTTAAAATAAATAGTAGGGGAGGTGGGGGCGAAGCGACGCAGTCAACATTTCTCGAGTACAATAACGTTTAATTTTTTAAAAAATATATTATTAATTGCACCTTTTTAACCTTCATAATTGGTGGCAAAACAAATTTTATTTTATTAACTTATAAGCGTTTGACAATAAATAATGTGTTTTTGACCTCTGGGCATTTAGTTTTTCGAGATAACAGATATCAAATTTTTTGCCACTTATTCTTGCTACTTGGAATTAAAAGTATGTGCTTTGGAAAGTTTAATACCAGTATTTTTAAGAACTATAAACAATTTTTGGACTTTACGTTTAGAAATGAAGATATAATATTTTGAAATAAAAAATGTACCTTGGGGCGAAGCGACGCATTCTTGAGGGGGCTAAGTGACAGCGGTACCAAGACGCATCAAGAGCCGACGAATGGCGGTTTTTTAAAAAAGTTATGAAGAATTAACGACATACTCTGAATAAAGCTAAAAAACATTTTTCTCATGTTTAAAAAATATTTTATATTTTTATTATTTAATTTGATTTGAAAATTATAATTTAAAAATTATTAAACTTTTATTTAATTAACAAATATTTAAATAAACAATAAATTTACAATAATCTTCTTTGTTTATTTACTTTTAGATAAGATAATTCGTTTAAAATGCAGGTAATTTTGAGTGCGTCGCTTCGCCCCACTATTTTCGTGGTTAGAAAATTGTCTATAACTTTTTTCAGGTTTAGCCTATCAACAAACTATACATTAACAAAAGTTGCGTTACGTCTTGACACATCGTATGGTACAACGCACAATTCGATATTTAATCGGAATTAGAAAATATTTTAAAATGAAGAAAAGTGCGTCGCTTCGCCCCCACCTCCCCTATATTAAGCAACAAGGGTATAAAGGCAGCCATTTGTTTACGGTGATTTTTGTGACACGAGTGTCACAAAAATCACCGTAAACAAATGGCTGCCTTTATACCCTTGTTGCTTACGATATTTTTTATTCCTAATGCACAAAAGCGGCGATTTCAGAAAGCAGACGACAGGGAGTAAAAGTCATTCACTTGTTCGACTTGTATGAAAATGGCGGCCTTTTTTCCCATGGGCAAAAATAACGCATGGGACCAGCTGTTTTTTTTTTTGCCCATGGGGAAAAAAGGTCGCCATTTTCATACGGTCGAACAAATGAGTGACTCTACTCCCTATCGTCAGCTATCTGAAAGCGCCATGTTTGTGCATGTGGGATAAAAAATTAATTTTTTCCATTAAAATCAGAAAATTTGCAACTGTTACAACTAACGTCGACATGTGTTACAACTCACCTTGGTACTGGGTGAGTTGTAACACAGGGAACTGTTTTGGATTTTGCAATTTTTCCGTAAAACCTTACAACTGTTTACATTTTTTATTTTTTATTCACATACTACACAAAACTACCTATCCAAAAATACAAAGCTCGTAAAAATAGGACAATTTTTGGCTGAGTCAACCTGGATAATGTAAAAATCGTTTCAACTCACCTCGGTCTCCCCTACTTGGGATTAACCGTAGGGAGGTTAATGAAAAGCGAGGAACCGAATTTGTCATACAGCTTCTCTTTTTCAGGTAAAAAGGTATCAAATGTTTCAGGGATGGATATCAAATCTGAAGAAATAAAATTACAGTTCATAAAGTGATCATAAGGTAAAAAGTATAAAGATAAATTTATAAAATCGTATTTGGTGGGTAAATCAAGATTATTGGCAAAAATTGATTTCGAGCAAAATTCATATTAGCCAGTGAGTGGAGCCAGTCGCCTGAGGAGAAGTTTCATTCCTAACCAAATTTCTACTTTTATCTATATCTATTAAAATATATAAAATTATGATTGCATATTTTTAGTATTTGTTACAATATACTCTTCTTTTATATGTATATTAAAATTGTTTTTGTTGTTTTATATTTTTATTTTCATGATATTGTTTTTCAAAGCCGGACGTAAGAATGTCGGGGATTTTCGACGCAAAGTGAGGAAACTTCTCACCATGTAACTGACCGCGAATACTTGATTTGATTTGTTATTAATTTTTTATTTTAATAAGTCACAGAAAATAGAAGGTAATTTTACTTAGAGTGGTCTGTTTTTAAATTTTATTAAACATTTAAAATATAATTTATAAAATTTGCTATTGTTTAAAACAATTTTAGACTATTTTATGATGGTGCAATTATTGTATTTTATTTGAAACAGAACTCCTGTTATTGTTGATATTTTAAGAAAATATTATTGTGGCCAGCATACTGTAACATTATTATGATTATTTAGTAAATCTTAACCATGTTATAATCATTTGTAACGAAGTGCTTCGTTATTTACTCTGCTTAATTTGCAATGTGTAGGAAAAGCATTTTCAGAGTTTAGAAAGTCGTTTCCGAGAAGTCGTGACGCGCTTTTCGACGAGTGTCATAATTTAGAAAAGTTTTATTTAGAAAGTTTTTATTAATAAATAGTTGTTCTTCGTTAATTGTATGTTTTAATGTGTTTTGCGTTCATTGAGGACCGGAGGAGAGTGCCAGAGAGTAGTTAGTGATGCATTTGAGCGAGATATACGAGAAATGAGAAGGAATGAGGAAATATCCCATTGTTTTGTTTTAAATCTTATCTCATCTCATACAATCGAGATTCTCAAAAGATTATTAGCACCAGAAATGTGTGAAGTTGATGATTACTGATGAATAAAATTAATATATTTAAATATTCAATCCGAAACATTTGCATCGAATACTCGCAACTACAGCTTTCTCGAAAAACACAAAATCTCATCGGGGAATTCTTCCAAGACGATGCCGTTATGCAAAACGGTCAACGATTCGATGTTCCGTAGTACTTACAAAAAATTTTCAAATGCAACCAGTTAAAACGATTTTAGCAGGATTTGGTAGTACTGAGGTAAATTCACCGGTGGAATAGTATTGTGTGTGTGATGTCGTTTTAAATGTAGTGTAACTTGTAAACGATGGGGAACCGAGATTCCCAGAAAATATGACGAGTGATAAGAAATGAGAGAAAACCGACAGTGCGCTGCCGGTCGTATAATCGTCAACAACCTTTTTGTATTTCTTCTAATTAAAACCTGAATTAATTAAATATATTGTTCGTTCGTTTTAAACTTCTGGTTTTTAGTGTTTTATTTTATTCCCTGACAAAATATAAAACTATACGCTTTGTTTCGCCCTTTATATATTACAGTTTTACTGTAACGTTTTTACTGAACGTATAGTAACGCTAGAGTGTGAAAACGTGGTTTACGATCAAGATGGCGCCAAATTTGCAGTAATTATCTGTAAGTGAACTAAAAGAGATTTTAAGGAAGTTGGGACTGACGATTACGGGCAACAAGGCAGAATTGATTGCGCGTATTATGGAAGTAGATCCTGACTGGTCTTTGCTCCAATTGACGAATGAGAAAAATACTCAGAAAACTGGTACTAGGAGCAAGGCCGACCATCAAACAGAAATAATTGATAACGAAGCTCTTATGCCAGAATTGGAAGCAGCGCGGGAACAAATTGAAGAATTGAGAAATATTAATCAAAGGCAAAAACAACTGGAACGAGATGAGCAGCTTAGATTGATAAGGAATGAAAGATTGGAGTTGGCTCGGCAGTTGGAATTGGCCAAAATGGAGTTTGCCAATCTTTCTGGAAGTAAAGAAAATTCAGTTGCGGACATATTGGATGTTGAAAGACGAGAACGTGACGCAGAAGCCAACGAGTTGGGGGAAATTCGTTCCCGAATTGAGACGATTCGAGGCAGCCAGAGGGGATCACCAGCACTGGTGGGAAACTCAGCTGTGATACCAAAAGTGGGGATAGCAGCTATTGGCGAGCTTCTGAGTACCTTCGAAGGAAACAGCGGCACATTCGACAGTTGGGAGAGGCAGGTGAAAATGCTGAAGTCGACGTACAACTTGGAAGACGATGCGACTAGAGTCCTAATTTGTTCAAGGCTGAAATCTAAAGCATTATCATGGTTCCATTCAAGACCTGAACACATTGAAATGTCTACAGATCAACTGTTGAGCGAAATTAGGAAAATGTTTCACCATCAGAATAACAGAATCCTATTAAAAAAAGAGTTCGAAGAGCGAATGTGGAAAAAGGGGGAGACTTTTAGCGAGTACATCCACGAGAAGACGATTTTAGCCAACAGGGTGTCGGTTCCAGACGACGAGAGAATCGAATACTACGTGGAAGGGATTCCTGATATGAATTTGCGTAATCAAGCACGCATACAGAGATTCAGGGATCTTGAAAATTTGCTCGCAGCATTTAAAAAAGTCACTATAAACTCGAAGCAAAGCAGTGAAGGCGACAAACCTCTTAAAACTAGTAAAGAGGAGACGAAGACTGGTGGGAAGGAGGTTCATGGGCGTTGCTATAATTGTAGTAAGTGGGGTCACATGGCATCAGACTGAACACAAGAGCTCAGGAAGAAGGGGTCATGTTTTTCGTGCGGATCAAGTGAACACATTATTAAAGATTGTCCCAAGCGGGGCAATAAGATTTAAGGAAGCAGCAAGGAAATAGCATCTATCGACGATGGAGATGAAGAAGACGACTTCATGATGACAGCGAGCTACGAGTTTGACATCAACGATGATGTATTTTGTATGGATCTTGTTACGAGGCTTGATAGTGGACGCCCAATAAGCTTTATAAAGGGAAAATTTGTAAATTCTTTTGTAAAGTTAAATAAAGATATAGAAAATTTTAGTTTCGCCGGGATAAATGATTCTAAATTGGGGATTTTAATTTTTTTTTATTTATTTATTTTTTTTAATGGGGATTTTAAATGCTAGAGCGAATCTTAGTGGGAAAGTTAGAGATTTAAAATTGTATGTAGTAGATGATAACACTATGACGGCATCAGTGGTAATGGGCCGAGATGCATTGAGAAAATTCGGTTTAAAATTAACAGAGAGTGATAATTGTATTGAGACTGTAACTAGAGAAATTTTAAGCATTGAAATTGATACTCAAGAAACTTCAAGTGTTGATCGTCTTATTATTGGCAAAGATATCTCAGAAAAAGATCGCGAGCGTGTAAAATCTATTTTCTTAGAATATTATGAAAAACCCGAAAGGCCGGAAAAGCCCAATGTCGACGCGGAACTTAAAATTATTCTTAGAGACGAAAAACCATTTCAATTTCGTCCAATTCGTTTGTCATATGAAGAGAAAATTAAATTGAGAAAAATTTTAGATACATTGTTAGCTCAAAAACGAATTCGTCCGAGTGATGCTGAATTTGCGTCTAGAATCGTGCTAGTTAAAAAGAAAAATGGAGAGATAAGGATGTGTACAGATTATCGCGCGTTAAATAAAAATATTATTAAAGACAACTATCCATTGCCTCTAATGGAGGATTTGCTCAATGTGCTTAGTGGTAAAATAATATTTAGTCGAATAAATTTGAAAGACGCGTTTTATCATATATCGATAGCGGAAGAATCTCGAAAGTACACATCGTTTGTCACTCCATTTGGACAATTTGAATATTTATGTATGCCTTTTGGTCTGAAGACAGCACCATCTCGATTCCAAAAATTTGTCAATACAGTTTTGAAAGATCTTATCGCGGCTGGCGACATTGTAGTGTATATGGATGACATTTTGATCGCGACAGTAGATATTGAACACCATTTTTCAGTATTGAAAAAGTTATTTAAATTGTTTGTTGGAAATAAAATGGAGATACGGTTGGATAAATGCGAGTTTCTTATAAAAGAAGTTGAATTTTTGGGGTACGTTATCTGTGAGGAGGGGATAAAACACACAAAAAGTGGAATCGCGGCAGTTTCTGAATTTCCAATACCCAAAGACGTTAAAGATGTCCGAAGCTTTCTGGGCATTGCGCAATACTTTCGTAAATATATCCCAGTAAAAAAAATTCGATACACGGACCCCGGAGTTCGTATACGAGCTCGGTAGCTCGTATGAGAAATATGAGAAAACTCTCATACGAGCCTTTTCCGTAATGAGAAGTGTATAGATGCTTGTATACGAGGTGACTTTTAAAGCATTTTTCTTAATATAACACTATTTAAAGTAAATGTAGATAATAGAAATGAATTTTCAAAGTAAAACAAAGCTAAATTTATAAGGGAAATGAAGTTTTAAGAAAAAAAAGATAATTTTATTCAAAAAATTTATTCACACTGAAAAAAGGTTAGAATTTGATAATTCCTTGTTACTCTAACTAACCGACATTAGATATTTCTCGTATACGGTAAGCAGATTTTGTATTAAATTTAATTATTTTATATAAGAACATTTATATAATAAATAAATAATAATATATTATTAATTAGTAATGAAAAAAACTTATTTATTCTACCGCCAATACAAAATCGTGCTTACCGCATCCGAGAAATATCTAATGTCGGTAAGTTAGAGTAACAAGGAATTATCAAATTCTATAACCTTTTTTCAGTGTGAATAAATTTTTTGAACAAAATTATTCTTTTTTTCTTAAAACTTCATTTCCTTTATAAATTTAGCTTTGTTTTACTTTGAAAATTCTTTTCTATTATCTACATTTACTTTAAAATAGTGTTATATTAAGAAAAATGCTTTAAAAGTCACCTCGTATACAAGCATCTATACACTTCTCATTACGGAAAAGGCTCGTATGAGAGTTTTCTCATATTTCTCATACGAGCTACCGAGCTCGTATACGAACTCCGCGGTCCGTGTATCGAATTTTTTTACTGGGATCGAGAGGTTTTTAATAATAGCGAAACCACTGAGCGATCTTTTGCAAAAGGGGGTTAAATTTGAGTTTGGGGAGGGGGAAATGTCGTCATTTGAATTATTAAAGAGGAAGCTAACCGAATCTCCAGTTCTCGCTCTTTATGATCATCGACATGAGACTGAATTGCATTGTGATGCAAGTGCGCATGGTTTCGGTGGGGTATTGATGCAGAAAAAGAAAGATAAAAAGTTTCACCCGGTATTTTATTTTTCAAAACGTACGACAGAAGTTGAAAGTCGTTATCATAGTTTTGAACTTGAAATGCTGGCAATCATTTATTCTTTAAGACGACTTCGGATTTATCTCGGGGGAATTCCTTTTAAAATCATAACCGATTGCAACTCACTTGCATTGGCATTGAAGAAGAAGGATATCAATCCGAGAATTTCTCGATGGGTCTTGGAATTACAAAACTATGAATATACCACCGAGCATCGCCCAGGAATTAGAATGTCTCATGTCGACGGTCTGAGTCGTTGTAATGAAATTTGTGTTATCGAAGACAATTCATTCGAAACAAATTTAATGTTAGCTCAAAATAGAGATGAAAAAATTGTTGACTTAAAGAATAAAATTTCGAAGCAAGAAAATAAAATGTTTGAAATGAGAAATGGCGTTCTTTATCGAAAAATTGCCAAAGGTGACACACTTTTATTTTATGTTCCATCCTCTATGGAAAAAAATGTGTTGTTTAAGTACCATGACGACCTTGGTCACCAAGGAATAAGTAAGATGTATGGAATATCCCGAGTAAAAATTTGACGCGGCCTATATGTAACCTATATAGTATTTGAGTAGGTTAAAAGTCGTCCTCCTATATGGGTCATGTAATATACATTGCAGGTAAATTCTACGTAGGTCTTTCTATGAAGGCCACTTAGTTGTAGCATTTATGTAGAATGCATGTAGACATTTGTACATCAAATTAATCAAGGATAGTTGAGATAGTGGCGACATATTTTTTAAGTACGCCTGTCTATGTCAGCATTCTCATTTAAAATCTACGTAAAATCTACAATGTAATCCTATATCAAATTGACATAGACCACCCAATGTAGAAGCAATGTAGATATTTGCTAGGCCTTTTTACGTAGGCCTGAAGTTATAAAATCTATATAGAATGTACTTCAAAATTCTTACTTCGAAATGACATAAGCAACCCAATGTAGATGGAATATAGATTTTTAATAGGCCTTTCTACGTAGGCCTGAAGTTATGAAATTTATGTAGCATTTACATCAAAATTCTTACTTCGAAATGACATAAGCCACCCAATGTAGATGGAATATAGATTTTTAATAGGCCTTTCTACGTAGGCCTGAAGTTATGAAATTTATGTAGCATTTACATCAAAATTCTTACTTCGAAATGACATAAGTTACCCAATGTAGATGCAATATAGATTTTTAATAGGCCTTTCTACGTAGGCCTGAAGTTATGAAATTTATGTAGCATTTACATCAAAATTCTTACTTCGAAATGACATAAGCCACCCAATGTAGATGCAATATAGATTTTTAATAGGCCTTTCTACGTAGGCCTGAAGTTATGAAATTTATGTAGCATTTACATCAAAATTCTTACTTCGAAATGACATAAGCCACCCAATGTAGATGCAATATAGATTTTTAATAGGCCTTTCTACGTAGGCCTGAAGTTATGAAATTTATGTAGCATTTACATCAAAATTTTTAAATCAAAATGACATAAGCCACCCAATGTAGATGGAATATAAATTTTTAATAGGCCTTTCTACGTAGGCCTAAAGTTATGAAATTTATGTAGCATTTACATCAAAATTTTTAAATCAAAATGACATAAGCCACCCAATGTAGATGGAATATAAATTTTTAATAGGCCTTTCTACGTAGGCCTGAAGTTATGAAATTTATGTAGCATTTACATCAAAATTTTTAAATCAAAATGACATAAGCCACCCAATGTAGATGGAATATAGATTTTTAATAGGCCTTTCTACGTAGGCCTGAAGTTATGAAATTTATGTAGCATTTACATCAAAATTTTTAAATCAAAATGACATAAGCCACCCAATGTAGATGGAATATAGATTTTTAATAGGCCTTTCTACGTAGGCCTGAAGTTATGAAATTTATGTAGCATTTACATCAAAATTCTTACTTCGAAATGACATAAGCCACCCAATGTAGATGGAATATAGATTTTTAATAGGCCTTTCTACGTAGGTCTGAAGTTATGAAATCTATACAAAAGTTATATTATCATTCTTACATTTAAATGACATAGGCTGCTCGATGTAGAAGCTATATTAATTTTTGATATGTCTTTCTACGTAGACCTTAAGAAGCGATTGTTTATAAGAAATATAGGTAAGTATCAACTTATTTTGGCATTTACTTGCTAATTTAATATTCAAAAATGGTTATTTTGCAATTTAAATGGAGCGCAAAAGCGGGTACGTAAGGTAATTAATTAATATATATTCAAATACATTATGCATATTAATATTTCCTTAAAAGTAAGATGTTTACAAGAAATGCTGTCGTTCCAAAAATCTTATTACACCCTGTATAAATTGTACCGAGGACCCTAGTTATGAGGGTTTGGTGGTTGAGGGGGTTGAGAGGGAAGAACGTTTGCATTCATAACTTCAGGTAAGAAAATCACCAATTCACCTGACGATGTACCTGATCTTAGTCAGTGCTATCTTAGTCAGTGATGCAGTCGTAGTTTGTCGGTTTTTATGAAAAGTATATCTCTGTACGAACGAATATTTTCTCTGTTATTATTCGTATCAGATTTTGAGTTTTAAAATGGAAGAACAACGTCGATTATTAACAAAACTGCGCGTTCAAAAACATCGACGACTGAAGAAAGAAATAGATAAGTGGCAATCTTTGGTAGATGAAAGGACAAGTGATGTTGTAAGAGAACCTAGTAAGTTTATATTATCATATTTGTTTTATGTTAAATAAACTAAAGATTCTAATTACTGCCCCCGAAAGCTTTTATCAATTAAAATTTTTATTTCGCTAGACTACCATATCACATTATAGTAGAATTTATATTTAAGCAAAGTTTATATGTAAGCTTTAAGTTATTAAAATCATAGAAAAGCAATAATTGGGTTAGAATTCGTGAAATTTTCACAGAAAATAAAAAGTATTTATTTTAAATCGAAATGATGAAAAAACATTTCTATTTGGCCTTAAGAATGTGTCCACCAAAAAACAGAAAAAAATATTTTTTATAAAAGTTATTGCAAAATTAATTTTTTTGCAACTTTTCAAACAAAATTTGATTTCTTCTAAATGAATCAACCGATTTAAATGAACCAAGCGGAAATATAAAGGGGACAAATACTTTCGTTCAGAATTAAAAATTTTTTAAAAACTTTTTTTTTTAATAATTTAATAAATTTTTTATAAAAAATTAATTTTTTAAAATGTTCTACGCCTTTTAAAAATTTTTTTAAAATATTAACATACACTTAAAACTGTAAGAAATCAAAATCCGTTGAGAAAATTTTGGAGCAACATTTATTTTAAAAGTTGTAATGAAAATTATATTGGCGCAGTGTAGTGCATCAACGCTGAAATTAGTTTTTGATCATTTTTATCAATTTTTATGGTTATATAATTAAATTAAAATGTTAATTTCACAGTGTTTTGTTCATTTCGGATTTAAAAATAATGTTTTTATTCAGAAAATCATCAAAATAGCATCTTTGTTCAATATAATTTCCATTATAACTTTTAATAATTTTTTAATAACTTAAGCTTGCTGCAATCTTGCCTCAAGCTTGAAATGTCCCACCTTGCACAAGGTTACACTGTAAGGTTGCTGTAAGCTTGCCTCAATGTTGCTCGGTAAGATTGCCGTAAAGTTGCAATTTTCAAAATTTTTATGTTTTATATATATGCCCGTATAAGCAATAAAAAATATAAAAAACTTAGAAATTTTTCGACTTTAAAATTAAGAGAAATTTTTTTTGTAATCTTACGGAAACCTTGCAGTAACCTTATGTTAATTTTGCAATAACCTTATGGCAATCTTACCGAGCAACATTGAGGCAAGCTTACAGCAACCTTACAGTGTAACCTTGTGCATGGTGGGACATTTCAAGCTTGAGGCAAGATTGCAGCAAGCTTGACGTGCAAGGTTGGCAATATTGCGCGGCAAGCTTGCCGCAAGGTTTTTGCAAGCTTACGTGCTGTCTGGGTATGTTAATATTTTTTTACAATTTTTAAAAGGCGTAGAACATTAAAAAAATTAATTGTTTATAAAAAATTTATTAAATAATTATTAAAAAATAAAGTTTTAAAAAAATTTGTAATTCTGAACGAAAGTATATTTTATCCCCTTTATATTCCCGCTTGGTTCATTTAGATCGGTTGATTCATTTAGGAGAAATCAAATTTTGTTTGAAAAGTTGCAAAAAAATAAATTTTGCAATAACTTTTATAAAAAATAATTTTTTTTCTGCTTTTTGGTGGACACATTCTTAAGGCCAAATAGAAATGTTTTTCAACATTTCCATTTTAAAAAAATACATATTATTTTCTGTGAATATTTCACGAATTCTGCGACCCAATTACAAAAAATTTTCTTTTAAGATACTTTTTTGACTTTATTTTATTTGTATAAGGGGTATACATTTTTAAGATAACTTTTAAGGTCGCTCGCCGCGGCTAATTATCGTGGCGTTTGTGGATTGATTACAATCGCCTGTCAAGAATATTTTACAAACTCCATAAGTATCAATCTGAATATATACTTTCTCTTTTTTCTGGCTACGCAGGCAGCCAGCAATTTTTTCAATACTTCTTCTACGGCTTCCTTAGAGGAAAAAGTTTATTTAAATAATTACTGTTATAGGAGTGATTCTCCAAACGAAGAATGATTTCGAGAAAAACCCTAAGAGCATCCGGATCCTACAGACGTCCTATGGATATCCGACAGTTAGGATATCCATAGAATCTCCTAGGGATATCCATAGATATTCTATGGACACACTAGGCATATCCTAATTTCCGGATATTTAGGAGATCCGACGGACGCCCTAGTCGTATCCGGAAATTAGGATATCCTTTGGATGTCCATAGGATATCAATGGATATCCCTAGGAGATCCTATCCCTCACAGCACCGGGATATTCAGGATATCCCAGAGACGTTCTGGGGATATTGATTTGATTTAGGAAGTTTGGATATCCATGGAATATCCTCTGGATATCCATGGACGTCCCTAGGATATCCCAGAGATATCCAAACTTCCGAAAACAAATCGATATCCCCAGGACGTCTCTGGGATATCCTGAATATCCCGGTGCTGTGAGGGGTGGATATCCGGATGCTCTTAGGGTAGTTTTAATGTTATCATTAATAGATAACTGCGAAAGTGTAGCTGTATAACAATCCAGATAAACGTAGCTTATTAAAAATGTTAAAATTCTTTATTTTTTATAAATTTAAATTTAATGTAATTAAAAAATTTTTAATATTAAATTTTACAGATAATGAACCTTCAAGCAGTGCAGTAAATAATGAAAATAACGATGAACGTTATAATCAACATTGTAATCATGCTACAGATTCCGAGGAGATAGAAAATGATAAAGAGATAAAATCGAAAAACGACGAAAATAAACATAAAAAATTAAAAATGCAAGACAATATAATTTTTGACCATGGTAAAATTTTTATTTTTACATTATTTGTTTAAATTTGTTAACCAATTTTGTAATGTTACTATTTATTTACTATTACATAGAAAAGGATTTAAGTGAAGTAGCTGTAGATGAAGAAAACAAAGGTGACGAGATAGAGGTTAGAAATTTAAAGGAAATAGCTCATCAAGATGAAGATCAAAAAGCTGAGGAGTTAGAAATAGATGAAGAATTTTCTGATTGTGAAGATGAAGAATCCTATTACAGTTACGACGAAAGAGACGAATATCAATCTAGCGACTTAGAAGACTTGCTGCAAAATTCGGAAGATGATGAGGAAGAGCAAATAAGAGAGTGGGCAATTAAGGGTAACATTTCTTGGGTTCTCATATCTCAATTGCTGCTTATTTTACGACGCCGATTAATGCCGGAACTTCCAAAGACTGCGTCAACATTTTTAAATGTAAAGTCAAAATTCAATATTAAATCTATGAAAAGTTCTTTGTATAACACTGCCGAATTTGTGTATTTTGGACTGGCAAAAGGTCTTGCTTCATGTTTTAATCCTTTGCTTCATCCAGATGGAACTATCTTTTTAGATATTAATATCGACGGAGCTCCTCTTTATAAATCAAGTTCAAAAGAATTTTGGCCTATACTGTGTCGAATTCATTACCCCGATGACAATGTTTATGCTCCTTTTCCAGTTGCAATTTATTTGGGTACCGGAAAACCTCAAGATTTAGATTTGTTTTTAGATGAGTTTATTGATGAATTAAATAATTATCAAAAAACTGGAATTGTACTAGGAGATAAATTGTACAAAATAAGGATTAAAAGTTTCATTTTGGACACTCCCGCGAGAGCCCTTGTAAAATGCGCAAAAGGCCATGCAGGTTATTTCTCTTGTGAGAGATGTCAGATAAAAGGCGAAAGGTTTGAAAAACGTACAATTTTTGTAGACACAAATGCAAAGGAAAGAACAGATAAAAGTTTTCGTGATCAAACACAGCCTGAACACCACAAAGGCATATCTCCGTTATTGAAATTGTCGGGTTTGAATATGGTTACAATGTTTGTTTTAGATTTTATGCACTTAGGCTTTTTAGGAATAATGAAAAAGTTGCTTTCTTTGTGGTTAAATAGCACAATTCGTAAGTTTAAATTTTCATCATCGCAAAAAGAAAAAGTCAATTTTATGTTACATGAGTTAAAAACTCAAGTGCCTTGTGAATTTCAACGTAAAACTGAGTCCTTAAACGAAATCTCATTATGGAAAGCTACCCAATTTAGTTTTTTTCTTTTGTATGCCGGTATAGTAATACTTAAAAAAATTTTAACACCTCAGTATTACAATCATTTTTTGCTCCTCTTTACTAGTTGCAGAATTTTGTGTTCTAAGGAATTAGCAAAAATATATTATGCCGATGCTAAATTATATTTGACAAGATTTGCTTCAATTATGGTAAAGTTGTATGGAAAATCTACAATGTCAATTAATTTGCATAACCTTATTCACATAGCAGATGACGTAAAAAACATGAATTGCCATTTAAGTTTAATTAACAGTTATGCGTTTGAAAATTTATTAGGTAAAATGAAAAGAACTTTGCGATCAGGGAACAAACCTCTACAACAGCTGTGTAATCGCATGCATGAAATATTTTTTAGAAGAAATAAAGTTACTCCGACTCCGAAGATATTATCAATAATAAAAGAAAATGAATCCCAGGTTTCAAAAATAAAGTATCAACAAGCCGTGCTTACTACAAAAAGTCCTGACAACATGGTACTTCTTGAAAATGGCAAATGCGTTGAAATAAAAAAAATTTATAGGGATAGTCAAAATATTGATGACATTAATATACAAGGTGTAGAATGGATTAAAGAAAAACCATTTTTTACATATCCAACAAGTTCTGAAACTTTCGGAATTTGGAAACTAAATGAAAAGCCAAGTAATAAAAAGGAGAATATTTCTATTTACAAAATTAAAAAAAAACTTGTGAAGTTAACTGTAAGATCAGCTCCAGATGAACCGAAAACCGTCGTTGTTATACCACTACTTCATTGAAAATGATTGAGGGGGGGATGCTGTAAGGAGATACAAACGATTTTTGTTGACCTTTTGCGAATAGCCGAATTTTTGTTGTGCGCGGGTAATTCTACAACTAATCATATGATTATAGCTTTATAGCTTATAGCTTTATTTAAGCTTATAGCTTTCACCCTCACAGCATTGGATATCTTGGGATATCCTATGTGGATATCTGTAGGATATCATGTGGATGTTTGAAAGAAATTCTAATATCCTACAGAGGTGAAATAGAGATGTCTATAAGATATCCTCTGGATGTCACAGGATATCTCTAAGATATCTTCAGAATATCCCTAAAATATGTAAATTATACTTTTCGGATATCCTGGAGATGTCTTCCAGATGTCCTACCTATGTCCTTTGGATATCTCTTGCATAACAACAGATTAATTATAAAATATTTTTTAATTATTTTAAGGATATCCACCAGATGTCCTTAAGATAACCTTTAAATACTTAATAAATATCTCATTTAAATATTTAATAATAACACGGAATCTGCAGGATATCCGTAGGATATCCACAAGAAGTTTATTAAATATTAGAATAATAATGTGAAATCCCAACAAAAACATCTTTGGCGCAAAAAGTTCCGCCAAGTAAAAGTTTTTGTAATTGTCGAAACAATTATTGAAATGAAACTTTACCAAGTAAATTTTATAACTAAAATTTTAATATTAATTGATTTTATTAATATTACTAATTACATTTTCGAATAGAGTCAATGTTTCGCGTTATAATTTGGATTATTTTTCAAGTATGAAATTGAATTTCATGATTAACATAAGCAAAAAATAAAATCTAATTATTCGCCTTAATAAAAATTTCTATTTTAGTCAATTTTAAAATCTTGACGTCAATATTTTTCTAACTTAATCGATGAAAGTATTGACGCCAAGATTTTAAAATTGACTAAAATAGAAATTTTTATTAAGACGAATAATTAGATTTTTTATTGCTTATGTTAATCATGAAATTCAATTTCATATTTGAAATAATTCAAATTAAAACGCGAAAAATTGACTCCATTCGGAAATGTAATCAGTAATATTAATAAAATCAATTAATATTAAAATTTTAATTATAAAATTTACTTGGTAAAGTTTCAATTCACTAATTGTTTCTACAATTACAAAAACTTTTACTTATGGCGGAACTTTTTGCATCAAAGATGTTTTTGTTGGGATTTCAAAACTTTTTGTGTCATCTTAACTATTTAATAAATTATTATTAAATTATAATATAATCTATTATATAGATAATAATATAATAATTATTTGAATTTTTCCCGTCAATTTTTTCAACAATAATTAAAAATTTGAAAAACATGAATTGTATTAAAGTTTTGTGAAATAAATTTTAAGATGTCTACCCAATTAATAATATTCCAGAGTAAACTACAAATTCATTTATTAGTTTGTGCTCTACATTTGTCTAAATTTAAAAAAATCCAACTTTTTTGAGAAAAATCAAAATATTTCCAAAAATACGAAATGAATTAAAATTTTCTGAAATGTAAACCGAGTTTTTAACACAATTAATAAAATTGTGGAATTTTTTACAAATCCGTTTAGGAGTTTAGGCTCTACGTTTGTCTAAATTTAAAAAAATCCAACTTTTTTAAGAAAAATCCAAAACATCCTATGGATATTTTTTTTGTTATTTATTTTATGGGCAGGCCCTCAATCATAAATTGCATTGATTAATAATAAAACAATAAATTAAATTGTAATATATAAATATTTTTAAAATATTTAGAACCAACAAAATTTATATTTATTTGAATAAATAAATATAAATAATGCTACAGACATTGATGAAAAATGTAATATTTATTTAACTTTAATTTTTCTAATTTCTTTTATAATGATCCATTTATTAATTATAAATTGTTTAAATAGAATTTTAAAAAATTTTTATTGTTTTAATGAAATATTAATTAAAATCATTTCATTCAACAGAAAAATGGTTTAAAAAATTTTCACTTTATTTTATGTGAATTCCTTAAAAAAATATAAATAATAACAAGTTTTACATATTTTATGATTAATTAATTATAGAGAAATATTTATGTAAATAAAAATGTTCGATTTAAATAAAAAACAAATCATGATTTATAATAGCATTGAATGTAATATTTTACGATATATTTGAAAAACTAGAGTATTCTGAAGTAGAAATACTTTTAACGCCTCCAGTACTATGTGGTCCCTTCGGTCCATTTTCTTTATCAATTAGTCAGTCTTGGATTTTCTTTCACCCAAATAACAGCTCAAGTGACTGCGCTTATAACCATCAATTCGTGTTAAATTTTTTGTTTCATTTAGTTATTATTATTATCATTATTATTAAATAATAGTTTTAAATTTCTTTCGGATATAATTAAATTTTTATTATTCTTATTGTTATTTTATTATTATTATTTTATTGTCTGTAAGTGTAAAGTGTACTGTTAGCAATTGGTAAGTAACATTTTTAAATTAAATTATATACAGATACATTAATTGCATACATAATTACTTTATTTTCTTCAAGATAAAAAATCACTTTTTTTACACTCTTTATTTTTTTTTCGTAATACGTATTGTTATTCTATTTAAAAATTAAAAATAGTATTTTCAAATAAAATTTTGAAGCTTTTTAAAAAACCTTATTGTTGCCTTTAAGCGAAAAGTTATGTTTTTACAAAATATACATCAAGAAAGAACGAATAAATTATTTTTATTAGACTACACTTACAGATTCCATACTATAATTCTATACTATAACTATGTACTAATACAATTTTTCATAATTCTCTTAATTTGCATAATTACATAATGAAAAATAATTAAATTACTTTGATTTAATAAAGTGGCAACGAAATCTCATTTTAAAAATTCTTTGACTTTTATCTGACTTTTCCCTGACCAATTTTTCTTTTTCCCAGACTTAAAAAATTTTAAATTATGCAAAAATTTCCATTTCTATGTTTTATTTCTTTTCCTTTATTATGTAACAAATTTATTAAATTTCCTTTTTTCGTGGAAGGAAAATGTCCAGTTTTTCTCTGACATTCGCCTACATTGATTTATTAATTAAGTAATTATTATATAATAATATATAATACAAAGTTTTGATTTGCATATTTAGCTAAATGGAGGAAAAAACAAAATTGTTTAGAGTAGTTGAGTTTATCAACTACTCTACGAAGGAAAAAAGAAGTGCCGACATCGTTTGCACAACCCACATTAGGTCGGATCCAGATCGGGGTTTGGTGGCGAAATTCATGGATGGACCATCATATAGTCAAGAAGATTCCAGGCTAATTCGTGACATAGTCAAAAATAAGATGACTGCACCAGAAAGTTGGCCTGAGTTCGAAATCAAAATTCTCGCGAAGACAGGTTTGTTTTACATATACTTCAGTGAAATAATAAAAATAAATTATAAATGTTACATTTTTGCGTAAATTTGTAAAACTCATAGCTATATTTTTTGCATAGAGAACATTTGAACATTTTGTATGCACATTTAATTAACATTTTATAAAAACAGGGTTGCCACAGATCAGGGAATTCAGGGAAAAGTCAGGGAAAGTAAAATTGGTCAGGGAAGTAGGGGAAAAGTCAGGGATTTTTATTTAAGTAACTGGAAAAAATTGCATTTTAGAGAAGTTACAAATGATTGCAGAAATTCAATTGAGGAGCTGAATTCTATAACTGGCTCTTCGCTCGAAATGCACGCGCTAATATCAGTCGGGTGGCAGTGACAGGCCCAGAGGCGCTCACTGCCACCCGACTGATATTAGCGCGTGCATTCCGAGCGAAGAGCCGGTTATAGAATCCAGCTCTTCAATTATTTTTAAAAGTAATAAAATTCTTCGCAGAAATTCAATTATGTTAAAAACTTTTAAAAGATTCAATTATCTTTAAAAATAATAAAATTCTTCTTCAAATTTAAATTATTTTCAAAAATTTTAATAAAATTCTTTGCACAATTTCAATTATTTTCAAAAAATTTTTCTCAATTCAATAATTTCCAATATCTACAGTTTTAATAAAATTTTTCAAAAGAATTCAATTATTTAAAAAAAAATTTTGATAAAATTGTAAACAAACTTTGCAATAATTCAATTATTTTCATAAATTAAATAATAACATTTTTTACAAAAATTCAATTATTTTCAGAAATAATAAAATTCATTATAGAATTTCAATTATTTTTAATACAATTTTAATGGAATTTCTCGAAAAATTTAATTATTCTTGAAAATTTTATTAAAATTTCTCGAGAAAATTCAAATTTGTTGATAAAATTCTTTATGATAATTTAGTTTCGAAAGACATTCATTTATTCAATAAATTATTTATTTTTGTATTTAAAAAATAATTGAATTCTTGTAGAATTTTCCAATAAAAATTGATTTTAAAATGAATATTAGTTAAAATTTTAGATAATAATTAAATATTAAAATCATTATAGCATGAATTTTTAAAAATACATAATTGAATGCTTTCGAAGAATTTTAACAAAATTTTTGAAAATAGTTACATTTTTCGAAGAATTTACTTAAAATTGTATGAATAATGAAAGTAATTGAATTCTTGCAATGGAGTTTTTCAAATTTTTTGTTAAATAATTAAAATAATGTAAAGAATTTTATTATTTATGAAAATAATTGAATTCTTGCAACGAATTTCATTATAATTTTTGTAAATAATTTCATTTTTCTTTTTTTGAAAAATTTTATGGAAATTAAAATTTTTATAAAACATGAAGATATCAATCACACCGAGTCGAAGACTCGGAGTAATATTGATATCTTCATGTTTTATAATAATAATCTTATAAGTTGTTAAATTTTAAAAACGTTTGAATTTGAATGTTTTGAAGAATTTTAATTTCTATGGAAAAATAATAATTAAATACTTATTTAAAAATTTAGTTAATGATGTTTGCGAATAATTTTACAATTTAAGAAATTCGTAAGTAAGTGTAGTAGAATGTTTTTTTGAGTATGTAATAATTATAAGAGTGAATCAAAATAATATTTTTTATGGTCAGGGAAAAAGTGAAAATTTTGTCTGGAAATCAGGGAAAAGTCAGGGAAAAATAAAATTAAATATTTGTGGCAACCCAGAAAATTTAAAAAGCTTTTCTGGTACATTTTAAATGTAAAAATTTTTGGTGGAATTGAATTTATTTGAAGTGAAGTAAATTGAATGTAATGTTAAATTTAATTTAATAATAATTCAATTTTAAATTAACTTAAAATAAGAACCTTTATTTGAAGAGAAATTAAATTTAAGAATAAAATTTTTCATTTATTTTCTATTGCTTTTATATCGGTTCGCTCACTACGTGACTCACGCCGGTTCAAATTTCTAAACAAAAATGCTTGTACGCCTAAAATATATCTGAAAGGAAAAGGTTCTTTTCCTTATATGTATGTTTTGTTGCCAAGTCAATGATGATCTTATTTCAAACCACTTCGTCTTCGGTTTTTATTGCAAGATTTATATCTTCACAGAAAAAAATTTTTACTGTGGGGAACAGCTAATTTCGAAAATAAATAACATAAAGAATCTATTCAACTAATTCAGTGAATGATTTCCAATGCAGAGTCAAACTGTTTCTCTGATCTAGAGAAAATGAATTTCACTGGTCAGCCATATTGGAAATATTTGACAGTTTAATTTTTTTAATTTTAAAAATTTTTAATTTTTTTTTTTAAATTTTTTTAAACTACATTTTTAAAATATTATGATTATAATTTATGTCTTCTTTTTAGAAACTTATAAAGAAGCTCTAAAGGAGCTTAATAATTTAGACAAAAAGGAATTTGTATGCACGACTGACTCAGAAGAAATGCTTGTGGAAAATACAATCCAAGCAACAAACGATGAACCAAATCATGATAATGATATTAACGATTTATTTCAAGTACCAGGATTAAATTTGGATGACATTAATAAGTCCTCGGGTATATATTTTTATCATAAATAATTTAAATTTTTTACTAATGTACTTAAATAATAAGAAATATTATGAATTTTTTTTCTTAGACACAAATGCACACATTAATGCATCTGGATCAGCTACTATTGATAATAGTAGGAATCATAAGCGAAAGCAAATAGCAGCCGACGATTTATCCTTTCACGAAGCAAAAAAAAAGTATAAGGCTGCTGGTAAGTTTTTCGTTTTTTATTATCAAGTAAATATGTATTTAATATTTATATAGGGTCATAATTTCTCAAACGGATCACCAAAAACTAAAAAATTTTCTTTTTGAACCAAAATAGTTTTTTTTACTCTTTATGGTTAAGAAGAATCCCTAAAAATATTAAGCAAAAAAAAAAATTTTTGTAAAAGTTATTAACAATTGAATTTTTTAGTACTGCTAAGTTAACAAATTTTTTTCTCTAGTTTTAGCTAACGGATTTTAAAATTAAAATATGAGTTTTTTTCATCTTGAATAGCACTATTTGAATATATTTTTTGTTTTTAAATGTTTTTATTTTTTATAATTTTTAATATAATTTGTTTATAAAATGTTAATAAACAAATATATTCTTCACGTCTTAACAAAAAAATTAAAATTGTATTCTATTCCTTAAATGTCTCCGAGTGTAAAACCGTTTCGAAAAAAAATGAGCCTCAATTAGAAAAAAGTTATTAATTAAAAACTGCAGTTGTGTAGAGCTTTTATGACGTTAAACTCGCCCCGCGCACATTGGCATTTTTTACAACTTACTGTTCAAACTTGTCTGGAACCTACAAATTTCATCAGACTTTTAGAGGATTGGTCTTAAATTAAAGGAGATAAAATTTCTAAGAGATCCCTCTAAACCAATTTTTGAATTTTAAATTGTTTATATTTTTTTGTTACTCAAAGTTAACAATTTACATTATATTGAGAAAAAATCATGATAATTTTTTTATTTTTCCATTGTAGATGATTGAAATCAAGTGAAATTAGTCCAGCATGACTACCAGACAAATAATAATGTATAATACAATTTATTTAAATTGTTGCAATCAATGTTAATTAACAAATAGATGAATATGGTTCTTTTTTATAGAAAAATTTTTTTTGCAGACAAATTTATGTTTATTTAAGTAATTTATGTTGATTTTAGTAAATATTGATTTTAAATTTGAAAATTATTATTGTTATTAACAATTATTATGAACAATAATCAAGTTTCTTTGACATTTGTAAACATTTTAGGCATTTTTTAAACATAAAATGTTTATATAATATGTACATACTTTCAAAAACTTTAAAAATTCATTAGCACAAACAATTACATTTGTTATAAACAAATTATTTACTTTTTAAACAAATGAATGGCTTACTTCTGCAAAAAAAAATTAATTTTCTTATTTTAACGAGTTTAAAGTCATGTAAAGCTCTACTTGATTATTGATAACTAGATTATTGTTCATATGATTGTTAATAATAATGGTAATTATTAAATTCAAAATAATTTTTTACCAAAATCGACATAGATTACTTAAGGGTGTTCGATCAAGAAAGGTATTTAAAAATGGCGGTCAGAAATTATACTTTTTTCGATTCGAATGTTTATCGCAATTGACACATTGATAGTAATTAGAAAAGAATCAGCTGGAATTTTGAACATTTTTGCTTTAATTTGAGTCTAAGATATTAGATTTTTTAACATATGCAACAGTAGGAAGTAAACTATGAATTTCTATGTACCCGGTGGGTGCTACCCTCTGAAGATATTTTTTAATAGCACTAATTTGATTATATTTCGCTTGTGTGGTTCTAGTTTACTTCCTATCATTCTATTTATGTATAAATGTTCAATTTATTGAAAGAAAATGAAATTACAACCATTCACGATTCCGGCTGATTTTTTAAAAATTGCGACAAATGTCTCAATTGTGATAATAATCCATTTCAGATGAAGCATAAGTTCTGACAGGCATTTTTAAAGGTTTTTCTTGTTCGAACACCCTTAAATAAACATAAATTTGTTCTGCAAAAAAAAAATTTTTTTATAAAAAAGAACCAAAATTATCTATTTGTTAATTAACATTGTTTGCAACAATTTTAAAAAACTGTATTATGCATTATTATTTGTTTGCTCGTCATGCTAGACTAAAATAAAATTGATTTCAATCATCTGCAATGAAAAAATAAAAAAATAAGCATAATTTTTTCTCAAAATATTGTAAATTGTTAACTTTGAGTAACAAAAAAATATAAACAATTTAAAATTCAAAAATTTATTAAAAGGGATCTCTTAGAAATTTTATCCCCTTTAATTTAAGACCAATTCCATGAAAATCCAATAAAATTTGTAGGTTCTAGACAATTTTGAACAGTAAATTGTAAAAAATGCCAATGTGCGCGGGGCGAGTTTAACGTCTTATAAAGCTCTACACAGCTGCAGTTTTTAATTAAAACTTTTTTTCTAATTGAGGCTCATTTTTTTCGAAACGGTTTTACATTCGGAGACATTTAAGGAATATAACAGGATTTTAATTTTTTTGTTAGGACGTGAAGAACATATTTGTTTATTAACATTTTATAAACAAATTATACAAAAAATTATAAAAAATAAAAACATTTGAAAACAAAAAAAAACAAAAACTAAAAAATTCAATTGTTAATAACTTTTACAAAAAAAACTTTTTTGGCTTAATATTTTTAGGGATACTTCTTAACCATATTAAGAGTCAACAAAAAAATTTTAGTTCAAAAAAAAATTTTTTAGTTTTAGGTGAACCGTTTGAGAAATTCTGACTCTATATCTTCCATCATAGCATTGGATATCTTGGGATATCCCATGTGGATATCATAGGATATCCTGTGGATGTTTGAAAGAAATTATCACAATATCCTATAGAGGGGAAATAGAGATGTCCATAAGATAACCTCTGGATGTCACAGGATATCTCTAAGATATCTTTACACTGAGAAAAATAATTATTTGATTCAAACAAATTTTGTTTAAATCAAACTTAAATTATCTTTGCTATTAGTAAAACATATTTCAGTTTAATTCAAACATATTTTCTGGTTTAATTTAAGAGTAGATTATATATTAAAATCAAACATAAATTGTGATTGATTTTAAATTATCTGTAGTCAACTTTTAAGATTGATTCAAACCTAAAATTTTTAAACATAATTTTTGTTTAAACCGTAACAGAAAATATGTTTGAATTTAATATAAATATTCAAACAAATAATACTTTTGAATCAATGCAGTAATATTTTCTACATATTGAGATTAAACTTACAAACAAATTTGAATTAAACAATATCGTCTAACATTATTTTTGTGTTTCATTTAAGTATAATGTTTTCCCAGTGTAGGATATCCCTATAATATGTAAATTATACTTTTCGGATATCCTGGAGATGTCTTTAAGATATCCCACCAATGTCCTTTGGATATCTCTTGGATAACCACAGATTAATCATAAAATATTTTTTAATTATTTTAAGGATGTCCACTAGATGTCCTTAAGATAACCTTTAATCCATAAGATATCCTATGGATATTTTTTTGTTATAAGGGTTATGTCATTTTATATATATTTATTTCTTATAGTTAACCTTGAGGAGAAAGTTGACATGCTGTTTGAACGTTTGCTTGAATTGAGGGAGGATTTACATTATTTGAAAAATGATATCAAAGATATCAAAAAAAATAATGTTCAAACTGCTCTTTGCCAAGAAACAATGGCGGAAAATTTAGCCGAATTTGGTGTAAATCTCCCATTGACAAAAATGAAGCATTTCGACAAATTAGAGTCCCTTCTACCTGATAATGTACAGTTGCAACACTCTCTAGTAAGCACTCAAATAAAAAATAATATAAACATAATCACAGCAATTCATATTAATTATCCTTTCACACATTGTTTCAGAAATCGGCCCTGCTATTCAGCGTACATTTAACAGGAGATTTGAAAAAAATGGTCCGGCAAATTCTATCAGCTTTGCTTAGTCGCAGGGTGGCGATGAAATTCACCGCTATGAAACCAAAGCCGAATAAAAGAGTACTTCAGGGAACGAATTGCTACAAGATCATTGAAGGTAATTTTTTCTTAGAACTATATAATTTATCAAAAAATTTAATTACAAATTTAGCATAATATATACTTGAAACTTAAAGCAAATAATATTTATTTGAATTAAATAAACTATATATAAACCCATAATTTCTATTTATAAAAGAGAATTTATATTTCCATGTAATGTGAAATGTTAGAAATTGAAATATATTTAATTCGGAAATTTATTCCAAATTTTGTGGTTTTAATTTAAATATTAATGTCAACATAGAAATCTTACTTATTTAACTCGTATTTAAAATGTTATTGGAATACATATATTATTTTATTCACTTTTTTATATTTTCAGGCCTCATTCCTTTCAAATCAACGGCAGGAAAAGAAAAGTATTCAAAGCCAGAAATATTGAATGCGGTGGGATACGTACTGACCCGTTCCTACGATTGGGGCAACGGCAGGAACGAGAGGAGAAAAAAAAAGGAAAATGCTGCCCCTGAGGAATGACAACATTATTCTTTTTTTTTGTTTGCGTATTTTTATTAATCATTTTTATTCTTATTAAGTAATTAAATTTTTTTATTACTATTAGTATTAGTATTAGTAATATTAGTATTATTAAAAAAACATTTTCAGGAAATTTAATTTAAATTTTAAATTTAATTTTGAATTTATTAGTATAAACAATATTATTAGTAAAAAAGTTTTAAATAAAACATTTTTTATAAGTAAATCGATTATTATTATTTTTGCACACCTTGAGATTATATAAATCCTATATAGATCTTATATTGCTTGGCCTATGTAGAATTTACTTACCAACCTTATATAGATCTTGCATTACTGCATCTACATAGAATGAACATAAATATAATTTATAGATCCTACATTATGCGGCCTATGTAGAATTATTTACAAACCCTATATAGATTTTATATCATTTGACCTACATAAGGAGGAAACAAAAATTCTTTATAAATCCTACTTTATTGAGCCTATGTAGAGATTATGTACAAACCGTATGTAGATCCGATAACATTTGGCCTACATAGAATGTATTTAAAATTACTATATATATGCTACAATATTAGGTCTAGGTAGATATTATATACAAACCCAAAATCAATCCTATATAATTTGGCCGATGTATATATTATATAAAAAATCTACTTACATTTTACATAAAGCGTCTGACATAGTGATTATATATGTCTTCTACATGGGTCCTACATATCTTGGCATGCATAGAATAGATATAGCCCAGTGTTACATTTGTATGTACATTGTACAACGGTTGGCCTACGTAAAACGTAAAGCATAACTCCTATATAAGTCCTATCACCTTCGTTTTACGTAAAATGTATGTAGCCGACCGTTACATTTGTATGTAGAATATACATAGGTTGGCCTATGTACAACTTACAGTACAACTTCTGCATAGGTCCTACAACGTTGATTTTACGTACAGTTTACATAGCCGAGCGTTACATTCGTATGTCTTCAGTATGTCAGTTTTGAGTCAAAGGCCTATGTCGCCAGATAGGCCACTTCAGGTACAATCTATGTACAGGCGACTTTAAATTTTATTCGGGATTGCATACAAGTTATTGGTTTCCGGATATGCAAAAGAAAATCGCAGAACATGTACATAATTGTTATAAATGTATAGCATTTGCGCCGTCGTCTGGAAAAGTGGAAGGATTGATTTCTGCAATTCCTAAAGGCAATAGGCCATTTGAATGCATACATATCGATCACATTGATTTCTTTGATTCACGAGAGAAATCGAAGAAGCACATATTGGTCGTTATAGATGCATTTACGAAATTTGTGAAATTATATTCTACAAAGTCCACGACGACGTCGGAAGCGATCAATTGTTTAAACAAATATTTTGATAATTTTAGTAAACCTAAAGTTTTAGTGTCAAATCGAGGTACGGCGTTTACCTCTCAAGAATTTTAGGATTTTTTGAAAGAAAATGATATTGTATTTAAAAGAGTAGCCACCGCGTCTCCGCAAGCAAACGGACAAGTCGAAATTGTAAATAAATCTCTTGCTCCAATGCTTAGTAAATTGTCTGATTTTTCGGCAGGGTTACAATGGCCAAAAGTAATTACAGAGGTAGAATACGCACTTAATAATATTGTGCATAGCTCGACGAATGAGTCACCAAGCATATGGTTATTTGGTGTAGCTCAAAGAGGTAAGATCAGTGATTACGTAAAGGAATTTGTCGACTCTGTTGTGAATGAGAGATAAAGAAATTTGATTGAGATTAGGAATAAAGCTGACGAGTGCTTGCAGAAAGCGCAAGAAAATTATGTAAATAATGCAAATAAAAAGCGTAAAGCTGCTACTGAATACAAGGTGGGTGATTATATTATGGTGCGGAATTTTAACTCGACGAAGGGAGTATCCCTGAAACTTGTACCGCGTTTTAAAGGTCCGTATGTCGTCACTAAGGTTTTAAGAAATCAGAGGTACATAGTGGCCGATATCGAAGGTTTCCAGTTAACACAGAGAAAATATGAGGGTGTATGGGAACCGCGGAACATGCGTATGTGGTCACCAATAACGTAAAGAAAAAAAAATATATAAGTTGCTATTGTCGGTAAAGTACTTCTCTTATTGACGTCAGAGGGAAGGAAAATTTGTATTAAAAAAAAATTATTTTTTTTGACATCTCCGAGGTCGGAGATATATCAGGAAAGGCCGAACTGGAATAGTATTGTGTGTGTGTGATGTCGATTAATATGTAGTGTAACTTGTAAACGATGGGGAACCGAGATTCCCAGAAAATATGACGAGTGATAAGAAATGAGAGAAAACCGACAGTGCGTTGCCGGTCGTATAATCGTCAACAACCTTTTTGTATTTCTTCTAATTAAAACCTGAATTAATTAAATATATTATTCGTTCGTTTTAAACTGCTGGTTTTTAGTGTTTTATTTTATTCCCTGACAAAATATAAAACTATCCGCTTTGTTTCGCCCTTTATATATTACACCGGTAATTATTAAAGAAAGGGATTGTTTTGACTATTTATTACCAAGAGAAATTGCTTTTTAAGATGTGCCGGACACTGCATAGAATTATGATATAATTTCCACATAGGTAGAGTACTGTAAAACAGGCTAATTTCGCTCAAGAGATACCTATCTTTTAAAATTCGATTACCATACTTTTTAGACAGAAATATATAAGATTTACAATTATTTTCGTTAATACAAATGTCAAACTTTAGTTTAAAATTTATTTATAGCAGATTCATTTGTAACTTTCAATAAAAATTATATTTAAAATGATGTACACGGACTTCAAACACAACAAGTTTCAGAAAAGCTAAAAGTTTTAAACTTTAAGAATCAGATGCACAATACTTGAAGTTTGGTATTATTTTTACAAATTAAAACGAAATTTAAAAAGTTTAGCAGTTGACATTTCTCATGAATCAGGAACCGACCTTTAACCCCTTAACTGCCGGCTGAAAAATACTAAATATGCCCAGAATGCCAAAAATAAAAAAAAACATTTAATTTGTCTGAAACTTGTTACTCGGGGGTTTTCGGGATCGCAGATTACGAACCTTATGTCGGTTTTTCAAAATTCAAAATGGCGTATCCAAAATGGCGGACGACTTTTTTAAAAATCGATCCAATTTACCTGAAATTTGTTACCCTCAGGTTTTCGGGGTCGCTGATTACGAATCTAATGTCGGTTTTTCAACATTCAAAATGGCGCATACAATATGGCAGACGAGTTTTTTAAAAATTGATCTAATGTACCTAAAATTTGTTACTCAGGGGTTTTCGAGGTCTCTGACTACGAAACCGATGCCAGATTTAAAAAAATTTTATAATTTAAAATGGTGGATCTAAAATGGCGGACGACTTTTTTAAAAATTGATCCAATTTACCTGAAATTTGTTCGAGGTCGTTTTCGAGGTCGCTGACTACGAATCTGATGTTGGTTTTTCAAAATTAAAATAGCGGATCCAATATGGCGGACGGATTTTTTAAAAATTTATTAAATGTAACTGAAATTTGTTACTCGGGGGGTTTTCATTGTTGCTGAATACGAATCTGATATCAGTTTTTCGAAATAAAATGTTGAAAAACCCAAATCAGATTCGTAATAAGCGACCCCAAAAACCCCTAAGTAACAAATTTAGGCGAATTGCGTCGATTTTTAAAAAAGTCGACTGCCATATTAGATCCGTCATTTTGAATTTTGAATAATCGGCATCAGATTCGTAATCAGCAACCCCAAAAACCCCTGAGTAACAGATTTTAGGTAAATTAAATCGATTTTTAAAAAAGTTGTCCGCCATATTGGATCCTACATTTTGAATTTTAAAAAACTGTCATCAGATTTGTAATCAGCAACCCCGAAAACCCCCGAGTAACAAATTTCAGGTAAATTGGATCGATTTTTAAAAAAGTCGTCCGCCATATTGGATCCGCCATTTTGAATTTTGAAAAACCGACATTAGATTTGTAATCAGTAACCCCGAAAACCCCCGAGTAACAAATTTTAGGTAAATTGGATCGATTTTTAAAAAGTCGTCCGCCATATTAGATCCGCCATTTTGAATTTTGAAAAACCGACATTAGATTCGTAATCAGCGACCCCAAAAACCCCCGAGTAACAAATTTTAAGCGATTTTAGACATTTTAAAAATAAAAATGCATTGTATTGTCCATGGAAAAGATCTTGAAAAATTTGCTAAAAGTGTTGTTTTTAACAATTTTTAACTTTTTAATTATTTATTTAATTTAAAAACAGGAATGTGCGTCGCATTCAGCATAGCTTTGACTTTTTAGAAACCTTTTTGTTTTTAATTTTCAGTCATTTTTGACATTTTTACTTTAATTTTTATCATGGCAAAGATTGTCAGTTTTCCGGCAGTCAGCAAAGTCCGAAATGGCAAAGATCTTTGCCATCGGCAGTCAAGGGGTTAAAATGGTGTATCGAAAAATATTGAAAATTTAAAAATAAACAAAAATTACCATGGACGTAAGAATTATTGGCATATAGATGCGGGGAGAGTCAGCCAACGTAGCGTTTTCCCTTCCGATCTGCCAACATACCCCCCTCGCCCATATTTTTACTTTTGAGGCCTGTCCCTATATTTCTTATGTTAATGAAAATTACAGATGATTATTTAATAAAAAAACATAAATCCTGAAGCATTGACCCAACGAAACTGAAATACTCATAACAGACACAATTTCTTCATAGCAGGGACATGTTCTTAAGTATCGAAACTCTAAATTTTTAGAAAATTTATGGTATCAAATGCTGATTAACTTTATAATTAAAAAAAATTATTTGAAATTTTTCCGGATAATCGATAATTCAGATAATAGGGGTTCGAATAATGAGGTCCCTACTGTATTTATTTATAATTTTTTTAAAATTTGAAACACAAATTTCTTATTTTTAAAAATTAAAATATTGCTGCACAACATTCAGGGTCAAGTCCCATGGCACCGTTTTGCGTTGCGTTTTGTAACTAGGCCATGAGTGCAAGTACAGCGAACGTATATCTCCATCTCTCTCATTCACATGGACTACTTACAA